TATATATATATATATATATATATAAACATACACATTTGAATAACTAATAAAATCATAAATTACAATATCAACACCATACAATTTCATTGTAATTTATCAAGCTTAGTAACTAAGATGTATTTTATTCTAAAAAAATATGAATTTTCGAACAGACTTTAAAAGTAGTGTTTCCAAAAATGGAAAGAGGTTGGCAGAGTGTCACTGTGTTTGATTTATTGCATGAGTATTATCTTAGCAAATAGAAAAGATAAGACATTCTTATTTTATATTTTAGCTTGTCAATATTGGTAATTTGAGTTCCTAATTCGTATGAAACTACAGACTTAGTATTTTGACTTCACAAACAACTAATTTGAAACAGTGCTGCATTCAACATACCATGTGACACACAAAAATCGATATTTATCTGTGTTTTTTAATATTTACTGTAATGTATGGTACTAAAATTTGAATTATAATCTACAGTTTGATACAAAACTTATTGACAAAAATTCAAGAAATAGTAGTTCGATAGAATTTTGAATGCAAGTCAACAAATGAGATGATATGGCCTTTGACCCATCTCAAATGGGTTAACAGAAATGACAAGCTCAGTTATAAACAGCATAACAAATATACATACAGTATTGTTAATAAGAGAACTGGCAAGCTCAGTTATAAACAGTATAACAAATATATATACAGTATTGTTAATAAGAGAAATGGCAAGCTCAGTTATTAACAGCATAACAAATACACATACGGTACTGATTTTAACAGAAATGGCAAGCTCAGTTTTACACAGCATAACAAATATACATACAGTATTATTGTTATTAACAGAAATTAGAAGCTCAATTACAAACATGAAAATGTTTTTAAATAATAAATTACCAATAAAATTAACAATACCATTGTTCAACATCAGAAGGATAGGAAATATTTAAACTTATCTGTTATATATAGATTTTATAAAACCATAACATTTATTTTGATAAAAGAAAACTAAAGTTTAAGTCAACTGAGATTGGACTTACCATCTTCATCTACTAGAGGACGATTAGCTCTTCCCACCATCTGGAGCACATCAGTAATAGGGAAATCTTCATACCTATACCCATAGCGCAAAATCCATAATTGTGAGAAGAAAAAAAAAAAATCGAAGAAAAGCAAGAAATATTATCAAATAAAATGTTACTTTACAATGAAAGGTTAGTTCAAAGGGCAATAAAATTTAATTATAAATAGATGTATACTGTTATGAGTTTAAAGC